ATTTTAGTTTCATATATTTACTTGTGTTTCTATTTTCTTCCAAACGCTCTCCTGTGCGCTCGCACACGTCAGCAGCATGTTTCCATGATGGTACTGTCACATCCGCCCACCACGCCCCAGGCCAAGCCTGGCACAGCTCTATCGGACCGTGTCCATGTTGTAACTGTGATGCAGTAGAAAATGCTGCTTGCTAGCAGGACGCCACAGTTTTCACCTCTGCGCTGCTTGTTTCTTGTCACGTTCAAGGTTGTAGCCTAAACTTGAGGTCAAATGGTCCGAGCCTCGTTGCCACCACTCCCCCCTGCTCCCCGCAGGACCCCGACACTCTGCCAGTTTCTCATAACAACAAAGTTCATGAGCAGAGGGTTAAGTTTGGGGCCACAGATATACCTGATCTGTGCTGGCAAAATGAGCCACGATGAGGAATATTTCAATATTGAGCTATTTTCAAAATATCCATCTCAAAAACTTCAAACTAATATGAAGTTAGTTGAAATTTGGTGATTGATCACCTGGCCTGGCAACAAGTTAGTTGCCCAAACTTTACAATGACACCAAACCTTATACAAAGGGACTTGTTGGTGCTACGTGGAGGTGAAAATTTGTCAACTTCTAAGAAAATTAAAAGCTGAATTCAACATTTTTCAGTCAGGTCATCTGGACAGTTTTTTTTTTTTTGTGTGCTGAAACGTTTCACCTTCCATCCAGAAGGCTTCATCAGTCAAGGAAACGAACAACAAAAAACTGATTCTTCCCCCAACAGCTTATTTCAAAGTGGAACAAACCAGTTATGTTGGTGCTAAGATGGTCTCATCTTATCACTTTGGAGTAAGCTGTATACCTGGATTATTGAGCATGGACTTTGTTGGTTTTGAACCAATTTGCCATGACTGTCAATGAGTAAGAGGGCAGGCACCGGAGGAGGGGGTGTGCCAAAGAGACCATCTTTTTCCCATGACACATGCATGCAGCAGTCCTTCCTAATAATTAAAAACATTATATAACATCAAATACTAAAAAGCCACCATCGCCAATCAGTAAGGCTACATGTACTGTGTGGACATGTATCATGGATGCAATGATACTAGAATACTAGCATTAATACATGCACACATTAAAATCTCAGAAAGATCATCTTTTAATCAGCAGATCAGTGTTCAAATTCCTTGAGTGTTCCCTGATGTTTTTCTCAAATTCCCTGAGCTTTCCCTGTCTGGAAAATGTGAAAGTCATTTCCCAGGTTTGCACCAATTTCCAGCATCAATGGGAACCCTGTGTGCAAGATCTCTGCTTAAACCTTTGGTATGCAAGGCAGCAGGCCGTATATGCATTCCTTCAAGGAATGCTACGTTCAATGACAAATTTGATGCTTCAGTGAGTTTGGTAGCGACTGTGCTGTTCTCAGTAAAACCAACTGTAAAACAAGAAGCCATATTATATCACAAGGTGACTCCATAACTCCCAAACAACCTAAACAGGATGGCAGCATAAAACTCTGCCGCTGCTTTTGATTTTGTTTCTGGGGGAACGTGACTTCCACAGTAAGACGTCATAAAGAGACTGAACCACACAGCTATTCAGCCTCAAATCACACAGCTGGGCACAGAGACAACGGGCTGAGGGACAAATCTGACCTCCTGACCTGGAACAGCAGGGTATAATCCATGACATTTTCCTGATTTATTTCAGCTCAAGCAGGCTCTGAATATTGGTTCACATTCTCCATATTTCAATGAAAATGCACATTAACACCACCTTTGACAGAACAACCCATCCACTGTGCGCTGGCCTGCACGTGGGTCAAAACATTAAACATTGTGCAGAAAACGTTTGCCCTAATTCAGCATACAGTCACAGTTAAGTCTGCTGTACAGTAGGTCACACACATACCGTCAACTGCTCCTGTCGATACGCATCATTGTTAACGACTGATCAATACATTTCCCATGCTGCTCTCAGTGCCAGTGAAACAATCCAGTTGGAGCTAGTGATGGAGGGCTGGGTGGGTTGGGGCAAACGACACAACCATTAACACGCAGCTACATGCAAAACTTTACATCAGCAAGTAACGTCTGAGAAATACAAACTTTTGACTCAAACATACTTGGGTATAAAATGTAGATTTTACATCAGTCCAAACTGGAGTCGTGAAAACAGCAAGATAGTTCAAAGCTTAAAGAAAGTTTAGTTTTTCTAAAACTATAAACGGCACAAAAACCAAAAGTCACAGCCACCATCCCCTGAATGAGCCGAACAGTTCGATATTTGAATGGCTGCATTACGACGGCGTATGCAGGAGTAGTTTAGCAGCGTAACAATAAGAAACAGGATCTTAATGCACACTAATTCATTTATTTTCTTTTGCTTACATGGGATCATCGTTCTGCTGCATTTGGACAAAACACTCACATGCATGCAAATGGCCCACTTTAACCTTCAGGGAAGTGTTGTCACAGTCTACGTTGCCACCTAGAGAACACCTGCATGTAGCACAGAGTCCTTCAGAATAAATCACAGCCGCCCGTTTAAGCAGCAGCACGAGACATACTACATGTATGACCTTTGAAACACATCCTATAACAGTCAGCAGGGCGTCGGCGACCAACAGCTGCCTCATCAGCATCAAACTCAGAATAATGTCAAGTTGTTTTTTCCTCCTTCTCTACTTCTCACTGCCAACACAGTAGCAGAGGCAACCATTGGGCAAAGACAGGCAGTTTCAACCCCTGGCAAACATTATAGAATGACTCTTAATTTGCTGTTCTCAAAGGACTGCAACAGATTAAATCTGATGATTGGTCTGGAGTAAAAACATAAAGAAAAAAGAAGAGAGGTGTTCTTGACTCAAACATCAGAGATGTCAAATTAAACAAAAGAGACAGTTATGAAACTTCTCCAGAAAAGTTGGTCAGTGCTTGTTCTGAGTCAGCTGTGTCTAAAATCTACAATCTGGACCAAGTATAAACAAAATGGGAAGCATACTGGTAGATGAAGGAAGACATCAGGGAGTCAGGATAGAAAACTTAAAGCCAAGTCTCTTGAAAACAGAAAAAGAGCAACAAAACAAGTGAAAACCACTGGGCGGTAACTGGAGTCAATGTCTGTGACTGAACTGGAAGTAATTTATTATTTTATAAACCTTTACTTAACCAGGTAAATCCCATTGAGATCACAGATCTCTTTTGCAAGGGAGGCCTGAAGGCAGACTAACATGCATGTTTTTGATCTGTGGGAGGACACCGGAGTACCCGGAGCAAACCCATACAAGCACGAAAAGAACATGCCAACTCCACCCAGGTCCAACCGGGGACTGAACCCAGGACCTTCTTGCTGTGAGGCAACAGTGCTAACCACTGAGCCATAATAAAAAAAAAAGAGAGAGATGGGCTTTACATTTAGAGAGGTCAAACATAAACCATCAGGACACAGAAACGGGAAAGAACAAGGTGACGGTGGACTAAAGAAAACCAGACTGAGAGTGACTGGATGAAAGTGACACATCAGGTAAAAACACAGGAGAGCCAACAGACATCACATCTTCAATAAATATACCAAATATATACAAATATATATACAAATAAACCAAAGTCTACTTTGAGATTTTGGACACTTTTCGTATCCCATCAGTTGAAAGGATGTTTGGTGATGATTGTTTAAGATAAGTTACTTGTTGAACAGAAAAATGTGCCCTTACTTTGAAATAAAGCTCATGTTAGAAGTATGGCAAGCCAATATATCAAATAACAAAAGATACCCATAATTCATTACTTTATTTAAAAAAAAAATAAGCTAATGAGAATGACATTTCTCCTATCCAAAAAAGTTTTTAGTTAGCTCAGACGTTGTTCTTGTCTCAGAACAAAGTTTATATCTGAATTAGTTATCAGGAACTCACACCAAGTTAGACTTTGATGTGAATAAACAACAACAAGCTACAAGAAGTGACCAAGTAGGGTAGGAAAATAAGAACAAGTAAGGGAAATAGGGGGGCCTGGTTTGTGTTTTGCCCAGGGCCCCAAAACTACTAAACACACCTCTGCACATCCTTTAGATTTAGGCATACATTTCTCCTGACCCATGAGACAGTGTTTGAATACTACTTGCCCATTTTTGGGACCCACTAAATCATTTTCTGTTTTTATTATGTGCGAAACAGAAAACTACAAATAAATAAACAAATAAGAACTCCTCTGGATATTTCACACTTAGACAAAAACGTTTAACTATAGGGACGTGGTAATAAAATACATTCCTACTTTATTCCCAGTGTATTGACGCTACATATATTTATAAAATAAACTATAAGATTAAATTTTAGATCGGTGACTTCTGCTTAGATTCACCAATCCTCCAAAATAAAGTGAAAACACGTCAGTACATCCATGTTCATCAACACGAGCAGTGATTAGTTGACCAGTTTCAGCCCCAGATGTGCTCAGTCTCCGCAGGTGCCTCACCCACATCTGCGCAGCCGCAGTGCTGCAGCTGATTGGATGAAAGCCTCAGTAAGCTCTCAGCTGATTGGTTCTCGTGTCTCCATCGTGTTCTGATGGATGCTCGCAGCTGATTGGCTCTCAGGCGGGGAGGTGTGCGCGCACGCAGGTTTCCTCTCGTCGACACATTTTTAGTTTATGCAACTAAAACCTCAAAGCGGTTGATTTCGTATCATTAATTGGTCGGATTATTTCGGGCCCTGATGTTACAGGTGTGCACGTGCTGCCTGGTTTCTATGACAACGGCTCCCTTTTATCTGCGGGCAGCCTCCACGTGACGCAGAGACAGGGATGGAGTCAAAACATGCAGCGATTAGCTGTTATTAGCTAAATAATTTGATAAATCTCAAAGGGATATTTAAACGCCACATGCCTGTGAATAAAAACAGTTTACAGAACTTTAAAAAGTATGTTTGCTCAAATCTTTTTTTAAATTATTTCTCGGGGAAACCAGAGCCACAGCAGCCTGAGCTTCTAGCTCAAAACAGAGCAGAGCATCTTTCTTACCTCATCTTCCTCCGCGGTCCGACTGCTTTCTGCTCAACTTCCTTCTGTTAAATAAAAAATAAATAAAAAGGACCAGGATTCTCCTAAAGCCAGCCGACAGGGTGTGCAGATGCTGAAGGTGGGAGAGATGATAGTCAGAGGGGTGTGGGAGGGGGGCGCCACACGGATTGAATCCACAGTTTTCAGGTCTTCTGTTTGGGTGCGTCAGGCTGGTGGTTCGGTTCGGCCCATCTCAGGGGCAGAGAGCCGCTTCAGAAGGGAGGAGAAGCCGGCCGGAGAGGAGGCTGCTGAGGAGCCATCTTTCCCGGCCTCCAACCGCTGGAAGGAGGAGGAGGAGTAGCGGGGATACGGCGTCTGAAATATTCATTATGTGGTTCTACAGCACCGCAGCGCCCTCTGTTGGCTGCTGGCGGAACTGCAGGCAGGCGGACCACATTAACTCACTTTGTAATGAGTTTGTTTTTTCTCACCAAAATTCAACAAAATCCGAAAAACTGCAACTAATTCACTTCCAAGGCTAAAACGAGTGAGAAGATTGGATTTGAGGATCGAAGGACTGAACCGTCGTGTTGCAAAGTTGGTGTTAGGACCCCCACCTTTGATACTCCTGTGTTGTGTTGGTAGTTTCAAGAAGAACAGCAATCAAACTACTGGTAAAAAGTTAAGTCCAGAGTTGATTCTCATTTCAGATTCAAACTAAAATGATCAAATGTTGAGGGGGGAAGTGAGTTAGAGTTAACCATCCATTCATCTGTTTGCGTTTTTTTCCTCTGATCTGTCTTTTTCATTGAGCGAGGCTAGTGTTACCTGTTTAGATTCAATCTTGAACATCCATCCATCCATTTTCTTTACCCACTTATTCCATTTTGGGTCACGGGGATCGCTGGTGCCCATGTCCAGCAATCACTGTGCGAGGGGCAGGGTACACCCTGGACGGGTCGCAAGTCCATCACAGGGACACATAGAGACAAACGAGAGAAACAACCATTCACTCTCTCACTCACACCTAGGGACAATTTAGAGTTACCAATCAGCCTAACATGCATGTTTTTGGTCTGTGGGAGGAAACCAGAGTACCTGGAGAAAACCCACGCATGCACGGAGAGAACATGCAAACTCCACCCAGAAAGGCCCTGGACCGGGGTTTGAACCAGGGACCTGCTCGCTGAGAGGCAGCAGCTCTACCAGATGCGCCACCGTGCTGCCCCAATCTTGAACATGTTATGTAAAATTCTATGCTATCTGTTAGCACTCAAAGTGTGTGTATGCAGGGACTCACAGCTACTACCACACCAAACCTTAGTTCAGTATCAGTTAACTTATCTGTTACAGTATAAGCCTATCCATTTTTTGTTTGCTAATGTCACTTAGCTGCAGTAGTGGGATTTAACTAAGTACAAGTACTTTGTTACTGTACTTAAGTGACAAGAACCTGTTTGGATCAGTACATCAACACCAGACTCAGGAATGGTTTGAAACAGTTTATTGTTAAAGCAGCTTCTGTTGGAGGTCTGGGTCCAGGTGGAAATCCAGTCTGTTAAGAGAGATAGGTTAGTGTTGGCGTAGTTACATTGAAAAAGTAACTTAGTTAAGTTACTGATTACTTTATTGGAAAGTAACTAAGTTACATTATTAGTTACTTTCAGAAGCTGCTGACAACAACCCTACGCCACCTCAACATAAAAATTACATTGAGCTTTGCCAATACTTTATTGAAAGTGCATTTTAATGGTAACATCAACAGTGTATCTCCTGACATATAAAGTTGAACTTAAAAACTATTACACGAAAAAAAACATTAAAAAATCAGTCTTTTTTTTACTTCATTAAACATAAATACTTGTTTTTATAAAAATTAAATAGTCTGACTTCAATAAACATATTTTTTTATAAAAAAAAATTTCTTGACTTCAGTATCATAAAGAAATACTTGCTTTATATAAAACAGTGTATTTCTTGACTTCACTAAACAAATACTATTTTTTTTACAAAAAAAAAGTATTTTGTCACTTTGTTAAACATAAATACTTTTTTTAAATAAAAAAATCTAATAAAGACAGTCTTTCAAAGTCAAAATCAAAGTTCTTTTACTTGCGCCCTACCTGCGTCTCTTAGCCATCATAGTTTGAATTCAGGACCACTGACAGCTGCGAGGAGGGCATCTTTGTCGTCCAGCACACCGGCAAAACAAGTCTGGATAGTCTGAAAAATATAATATGTTTTGATATGTCAACAAGGCCTACTAATTACAGTATTATGTCATTGAATTACTTGCAAACCATGCCTAATGTGGGATCAATATTATGGATTTAATTTTGTTTTAGGATTCTTATTGATATTTGCATTTGTTTTAATTTTTTGCTATGATAATGAATATATTGTACAATGTACAAAAACAGTGTGATGCAAGACATTTTAACTAGCTTACAGATGGAACATACCTGCACTATAACATCTGGAAGGCCTGCAGTCATCCTGGAGAGCAAATCTTTCTCAGCCAGGGTCTTCTGCATCAGAACTTCAAGTGTGGGCAGTAAAGTCCCATCAGGACAGTCACCTTGTTACTCCCATATCTTCTGTTACCGGCAGTAGCAGTCCAAACATCCACGGTAGTTGACACAAAGTCGACATCATTCAGCGCAGCCTTCAGGTTTCTCTCCATCTCTGCATACTCCTTCTCTAGATACACAGAAAAGCTCCTCTGTGAGGCAGCTCGGCATTTACAGTGGTGGGGATTCAGTTTATTATGACACGAAATGAAGGCGAGTCAACCGTGTTGAAGGGCAGCATTTCTTCTACTACAAACCACCTGACCAACTTTTTAAACTCTCCCACACTTTCTGGTTTTGCACCTAAGTCAAGCTTTTATTGTTTGGCGGTGGGGGACCTCCTGTCGCAGCTCTCTGCTTCAAACCACCTGGCGAGACTTGCTCCATCAGTTTGACTGTCCCGTGCTGCGACTCCAAACGTTTCTTCAGATGTGATGTGGTGTTTTTGAAGCTAGACAGCACTTTCTCACCAGCACAGAGGGAACAACGAACCTTGATATTGTCATCCTTCACTGACAGAAACTCAAAATAGTTCCTGTATTTCCAGCTACAAAATGTGTATCTTCCTCCTCGCTCCACTGTTTACGTTTCAGTCGCGGCGTGGTGTCGGGTACCACAGGTGATGATAATGTAATAAATTTGTGGGTCAAACAGGCAGAAGATCTTGCCTAGAATGTCAGAACAATCAAACAATCACCACACACTAGAAGATTATGAAAATAGTCTTTATTTATGCATCTACTCCTAAAAAGATCCCCACCCCAAGCTAAAAAGGAAGGCCTCTACTAAAAGGTTAGATGAGTTCACTTTGTTCACTTTGTTCACTTTGTTCACTTAGCTCACTCAGCGACGAGACCTCTCCCCAGGGTCTAAGCTTGTGATGTTGTCCAACACCCCTGGGGATTGACTTAGCTGGACGACAGTCAGACCTCCTGGATTGGCTCCACACCAGATCAGAGCAGGTGGCAGGAACAGGAGCAGGAGTCCAAGGTGGTGACTTTAGATTACTAGTTACTGAAAAAAGTGGTCCGATGACATCACTGTTAGTGGTTATGATGAGGACAAGGAGTTTTAGAAGTTTGCTGGAACTAGTCACTAACCTTCTCAGTTTGTAGCGTGGCAGGTGCTGTAGTCACGCTGGTACCAGTGACGTCACTCGTGCAGAGTGAACTGCAGCTGCGGAGCAGACTTTTGGAGCTGTACGTGGTTCATGGGGGATACATCCAGAGGCAGGGTCCAGAAAACACAGCAGAGTTCATACACAGTAAAGCAGAGAGCAGAGACCAAATCGTGATCCGTAAGTGTAGTCGAAAGACAAGGAAGGCAGAGTTGTTACCGTGGTCAGATGTCGCAGTAATAAATCCAAAAAGGGTCAGGCAAAGCGAGGAGACTGTGAAGATAGGCGAAGGGTCAAGGTAAGGCAAAAGAGTGGATATTTACTGGCAATGAGCTTTCAATAATCTGGCGATGATTGAATGGAAACTTGGTGTTTTTAAAGGTGGATCTCATGAGCGCTGACTGCAGAGGGGGCATGGTGCTGAATGAATGGAGCAGGGTGAAGAGACGAACTGTGATCATAAATAAAATGTGAAAACTGATGGACTGTGGCATGAGAAAATGACAAAACGTGACACTTAAGTACATTTGTCATGCATCTGTACTTTACTTAAGTAGAGTTAAATGGGGGTACTTTTAGCTTTTACTCCGCTACATTTTACATTAAGTATCTGTACTTTCTACTACACTACATTTCTATAATACGTTGTGTTACATGTTACATCCACATTGCGAGTTTTTTTATTTATTTCTTCGTTAGTTTTAAAGTAATCAATAGCGAGAGAGGAGTTGGTCCATTGAATCACTGCAAAGTGGACAGTAGTGGTGTGCAAAACTGCAAAAATTTGGTATTTATCGATACCAAGTAAATACAGGTCCAATATCGCTGATATTGGTACCAATACGATACTTTTAATAATTAATTAAATAATTTTTATGACGTTTAAGTGTTTTGTGATTTTTCCTTTGGATCATTTATTAGTTAAAACCCAGGATAGAAGTAGGCAAAGTTTATAAGTAAATAAAAAATACTTTATTATAATAAAAGTTTTTTTTTTCTGAAAAAAATAGAAGAGTAACAAAACAATTTTCCCCATACCTTGTGATGGCTGGATTTATTTTCCTTAAACAAAGTGCACACAATGATCACTCAAGAATAAATTAAAACATTGTGTTCAGAAACTATAATAATTAAATAAAAATTATCCCTTCATTTTACTCCTTTTCTGGATTTTTTTTTTCTCAAATAAACAAACAGTACACAGTTTTCACACCGCAACAAATGTTATAAAACAGTAAAATACATTTAGGATATAAAGGAATAAAACAAAATTTCTCCTCTTAAGTGAATTTCTTTTCTGGGTTTGAAAAAATAATTACAAATCAAACATAATTATTGAAAATACAATAAATAAAGTGTAAATAACAAAACAACCTCCAAAGCGTTGAGTTCAAAGAAATATTCCCAGCAGCCTCTCTGTGGGCCCTGCCTGCCTTTACAAAGTTGCTCTGTGCTGTGACAGGAGCGGCGCTTACACAGACAGTCGGCTCGCATCTTTGACGAAACCGCAACAGTGCATACAGGAGAGAAACTGAAGCTAAAGTATCAATGTCATTACACTGGAACTGATCGATATCAATAACCATGTTGGTATCGATATTATCTGTATTTGGATCGATCCACCCACCCCTAGTGGGCAGGTAACATTAGACCTGCCTTCAAGAAG